TTAATCCCTGACTTATTTAATTGGCATAAAAATCCCTTTGCACTGTATGTGTGCTCAAGAGAATTGCTAAGTAGTTGTGGACAAGTGGCCTGGCTGTTGGATTAATTTAGCTACGACACTCTGCAAAAATAGCTCCCAGGCAAGAAGATGTCTATTCTAAAAAGTAACTTTATTAAAAGGAAAATAAAAAGTAAAAGGCAAAAAAACATGGTTAAGCTTTTAGGTTGCATTCAAAGTACACAGCTAAAGGCAAATAACAGCAAACAGGCAAATGCTACAGGCTAAGGTGCTGGTATTTCTATCTAATGCTAACTGTCATGATCTCCTATGATGGACCTGGGGCTTATATGGAGTCAGGATGTGTCTTGTTCAATGTCGAGTCACGGCAACTGGACTTATTATTAGGTTGAAACATTTCGCTACTCGTCCAAGTAGCTTCTTGGATAAGTAGAGAAACAGTTCAACCTAGTAAGAAAGAAGTCCAGTTGCCAGAACTCAACTTCCAGATAACCTCACCCGGATGACTGAGAATCTATGTCTTCTTCTATGTTAAGAGTAGCTTCCAGCCCTCAAGAGGGAAGAAGCTTCTCAAATACTCCGTTGTTCCTTCCCTCTGACTTTGTGCTCCTCTTTCCTAAGGACTTGTCCTCCTTTTAACCCCAGAGAACATGTATTCCTTTTAGAACCCAGCAACAACTTCAAAGAGAACCGTTGAGGTGTGGTTAGGTCTGATGGGTGGAGGGGGAGTTACTCTAACCAAAAAGGGTGTGAAACCAGTTCGTGTATTTACACTTCAGAGAAATGGGCCATCTGGTGCTCTGACTCCATTTTACATTGATCTAGCTTCTTGCGGGAAAGCTAATACCATGTTTCTCCCAAAATAAGACAGGTTCTTATATTAATTTTTGCTCCAAAAACACATTATGGCTGATTTTCTGGGGATGTTTTTTTTTTTTTTTTCATGTACAACAATCTACATTTATTCAAATACAGTCATGTCATCTTCTGGTTGCTGCACAATGGTGGAGGGCAGGGTTTCACTTAACTGGGGCTTATTTTTGGGGAAGGGCTTATACTACGAACATTCTGAAAAATCATACTAGGGCTTATTTTCAGGTTAGGTCTTATTTTCGGGGAAACAGGGTAGATTGATTCTGGTTTCCAATACAGTGGGGGCTTGACTTGAGAACTTAATCCGTATTGGAAGGCGGTTCTCAAGTCAAAAAGTTCTCAAGTCAAATCTGCATTTCCCATAGGAATGCATTGAAAACCATTTGATCCATATCTGCTCTTTTCCGTCCATAGAAACTAATGGGAAGCTGCTATTCTGCCTTCGACCACTAGAAGGGGATATTTTGTTTCTTTTTTTCTTAAGTCAAGAAAGGTTCAGGGAAGGCAGGGAAAATACAGTCCAGGCAGTACAGTACCAGGCAGTCCGAAGACTGTCTCCCAATCCACTCTCTAAACGCTGGGAGGAGTGAAGAAGCAGACAGGCACCCTTTTCACTGGTCAACAGTTAACTGAAAGTTCAAATTTTGCACTTTCCCTGCCTCCCACGTGGGTTTTTTTCAGTTCTTAACTCAAATCTAAGTACTTAAGTCAAGTCAACATTTTCCTATGAGAGCGGTTCTTAAGTCAAAATGTTCTTAACTCGAGCCGTTCTTAAGTCAAGACCCCACTGTAACAATTTCATACAATTTCATGGCAGAAACATTCTGGCGTGCATCCCACCTGGGTGCATTTCTCTACAGGATCTCCAGAAGCTAATTTCAAGTGAGGCAGTTTCTTAAAGGATTTCCAGAGAAGTGATTTTCAAGGACATGGCTTTTTCCTCCTCTTTTGTCATGCTTTAATATAATAATAATCTGTTTTCAAGTCAATTCTGATTTTTGGCGACCCTTTTCAGGACTTTCTAGGTAGAGAATACTCAGAAGTGGTTTACCATTCCCTTCTTCTGGAGGCGCCCTGGGACTGTGTAGCTTGCCACATGTTTTAGACTACTGCAGAACAAAGACTAATTGGAAATCCTTAACACCCAATCAAGGCCAAAGTTTTTAACCTTCACATGGTGGTTCTATACTACATCAACAGCACTGGTTATCAGTCAGTTTTGGGATCTGGTTCAAAGTATTGCTGTTAAATTATTGACATTTTTAAAGCCTTAAAGACTTTAAGACTTGTATTCCATAAAGAATGCTGGCTCCTATATGTCCCTCCCCAATTATTATGGTAATCTTTGAATAGCAGTCATAGGGTGCTGTTTGCCATCGCAGTACTGTACAATGATTCACTACCAACAGAAGAGCTTTCTTGGCAGTGGTCCCTCATCGATAGGGTGTTGTTCATGAGATATCTCAATTAGAATACAGTATTTAAAAGTCATACTATTATTTTCCTATTCCAAACAGCTTCTTGACAGATATATTTATGTTAGCTTTTGTTACTTAAGTTTGTGGCTAGCTCTTACTTATTTAATCAATTCACATTTTGATATTCAGGCTGATGTATCTGCTTAGGCTATAAAAACCATGATTTTATTATTACATCTATATCTCTTTATCAATACCTATATATGGCAATCTCCAGGGTTTTCTAAGCATAAAGTACTTAGAAGGATTTATCAGTCCCTCCTGGTGGTGGTGCTCTGGACCTACACAGGTTGCCCAAGGCTGCATAGATGGCAGGGTGTGTAACTCCATTAGTCACACAGACTGTGTATAACCTCAGATGGCTCCTTTTTTGGGACACATGGGAGATTTGAACTCCTGGCCCTATCAAGATGCTGTACCTCACTGAGCTGCACCAATTCAGTTTATTTATAAGCAGCTGAAATAAATCAATGAATAAAACCTCTTTCTCTTAATTTTGCACTGTCATCCAAAGGGAAGTACTAAATGTTTTAGAATTAATCTAAGAAAAATTTATAAACTGAAAGAATTAATCTACATTTATTGTGTGCAAATGAAGGAATGCCTGTAGAGCTTTATGATTGTATAAATGTTTAGGAATAGGAAAAATGAAGCTGCTAATGTTCATTAGTATTAGACAGGATAGTTAATTATCAGATAAATGCATTGAAAAATCACATATTATTTATCAACTGCTATTTCAGCGGCGTGGAGAGGGGGGATTTGCTACTTTGGTAACAGCCTATCCTCCACATAATTTTACCCAGGCTTCATGCTCTGGAGAGGACACTCAAGCTTCGCATACAGCATCAAAACACTAGATGCTGTTCCCTCCAAACAGAGCATGTTACCATAGTCTCTTGAGACTGATGGAAGCCTATGTATGTATGTAGAACAGTCATCAGACCAATAAACAATGTGCAGTAAATTTTTACAGTTTATCTTTTAATTTTCTGATTTTGGAACTTGTCACTGAAAAATTTACACAGAATTACAATATTGTCCTTCTATGAGATGGTCACCAGTAGGTAGAGCATTTGGGACTTGGGAGATCCTGGTTTCAAACTCCTGCTTGTCCATGAAGCTCACTGGTTGACTATGAACCAGTCAGATTCTCAGATCTAATCTCACAGATTCTCAGTCTAATCTCACAGAGAAGGTTAAGCCACCTTGGGTCCTTTTTAAGAAAAAGGGATAAAAATATTTTAGATAGATAGATAGATAGATAGATAGATAGATAGATAGATAGACAGACAGACAGACAGACAGACAGACAGACAGACATTCAGACAGACATAGGGAAGGAGAGATAACTATGCAAGCTTCCTTGAGCTTCATGGACAAAAGACAGGATAAAAACCAAATAAACCTTGTCTCAACATTCCAGCTTCTTGCCAATCATTGTCTTAAAAACAAAATCCACAACTGAAACCAACCAACCAAGCAACCAACCTTCCTTCCCTCCCTCCCTTCTGCCAATGTAGCATGATTGAATAAAAAAAAATCCAAATAAACCCTCGATCTACGGTAGTAGACAGCACCCCTTGGGTACCCAGAGTTACTTCTAAATAAACAAAGAGAACAATGGTCAGAAACACAGCAAACAGACAAATAAACTTCAAGAAATCAACTGATAAAACCAGGGTGCTACTTTCTTCCAGGCAATATTGAGTTATTTTGGTTGGGGGTAGGGGTGGGGTATGCCCTGTAGAAGGTCAATAATGATACAAGCAAGCAGAATTTAAGTATACTTATAGTATAGTGACTTTGGCTGAAAAGTGTTATGGTGAGATTCTAGTGATATCACAGTCAGACAAAGTAGCCTTGATTATCTTAACAACCTCATAAGATAGGAGGATGGAAAACCAATGGTACAGTTTTTATATATACGTCCAGAACTTCCAGGGATGAAAGTTAAATTATAGCCCTGATTTGCAGTCATGGTCATAATTCAGTTATTCTGTTCTACATTTTTCAACTGGTGCTATATGGATGTGACCTGAATCCCATCATTTACATATATCAGCATAAGTCAAATGTAGTAAATTGTGTGGTGAATTGCTGTAGTTAAGAATTCAATGTTTTTATTTCTCTTTGCACACATGTTGAATGGTAATCTATCACTGTGATACACAGTATGCCATTTGTCTCATACTGGTATAGGTAAGTAACAGGAGTCTGGGCATTCTCCCCACCCTAACCTTCCTTCCTTCAAAAAAAAGCTTTGTTTTGCTTTCACCTCACCTGGATGACTGAGAATCTTCACAAATATTTTGTTTTGCCATCTTTTTAATTTCCTATCTGATAAGAGCATATAAATTCAAGGCATCCAGATCCCAACACAGCTGGAATAGACCCATTACTAACTTCAGTCCCATTCTAACCATCTACCCTAGGTATAAATAAGTCTGGCTCCAATCGATTAGTTATCTCAGGGGAAATTAGATCGAACATAAAATCGAAGGACTTCCTGTTTCAATCCATAACTCCAATGGTTATGCAAAGCAGCAATGGAAAGCAAGCTGCAGCAGCATGCACTTGACAGCCTCATGCAAAAACAAAGTTAAGCAAAGGCAAAGTCTTGAAATGTACCTCAGAAGTAACCTTGTTAGACAGTAATTTATCGGTGTACTGGCAAAAAGGGAAAAGACCATCATTAATATAAAGAACAGAGAAAGAAAGAGACCTCAGATTGAACAACGAACTGGTATTTATCTCACAGTTTATCTGGTGCGGCTGCCTTGAATTGTTTTTTGGTTTTTTTAGAAAAGCAAAATAGTCAATTTAAAAATAAAAACAGATTATAGATATTTGCTATTAACCAGTTGACGTTTACATGCTGAATTCTGTAAGAAATAAAAGTACTGCTTTTCCAAGCACAAGGCTGGGGCTTTTAGGAAGGCAGACAAAGAAAGAGAACTTTCTTTTTTATGTATTTGCATGGAAGAAATGTCTGGTCTATATGGCTGATGTCTTCCACTCTGTTGATGCCAAACGAATATAACATTGTTTGACATTTGTTTTGTTTTCCTCACAGTGTCAGAATTGATGAGCTTGTGTGAGGAAAACATGCCTCAAGGGAAGTTCTTACACCAGAGTTCCTTACTCAAATACTTCTGAAAACTACTTCTTATGAAGCATTTAGACTCAAGACAACTGAAAGAACTGCATCTGTGAAGTCCCTTTGCTTTGACAGGAAGTCTTTTTGCACCCCTCTAGCTTTTCATTCCTGCTTTAACACCATTTTGCACCCGTAACGGTGCAAAGAGTCCCCTCTAGCTTTTCATTCCTGCTTTAACACATGCACTTTAGCCCCCAAATAGTAATTCAGAAAATGACATCCTGCAAAAAAGGAGGTTCAGTGCTTTATTGAGAAACTGTCCCCTGACAGAAGCTAGGAGACAATCATGCTGGCATTACCAAGATTCCCCCATTCTGCACTGCAGAACAGGAGGCAAGAAGCACATAACAAATGTGGGGAGAAATGCACCCACACAGGCCACCCCCCCATGTGCTTAGGATTATCGCGTAGAAAAAGACACCCGTTTTTAAAAGGCCCACAATGAAAGAAATGAATCCATATAGATTCCCATGCAGGAGCAGCTCATAGCAGGAACAGTGGGAAGCCTTACTCCAGAACTCCCTTGTCTGGGCCACGTTCGCTTACAAGCCCAAGCCTGCTGGTGATATATTTTATAATGGGCAAAACTGGATCGACGAAGGGAATGGTTTTTAATTTTCATTCAGCAAATGGCTTCAACTTTGGTTAGGGAAAGCTAACCCCTTAATGGAGAACAAAGGCTTCACTGTAGCCCTCCTCGGTTCAATCACCTCCCAAGCTCCCTAAAAGCCCAGAAAATGAAGTCCACTTTAGTCCTCTGTGTTTCTTCACAAAAAGGTCTTCCAGCTCTCTTCCTTCACTAGCCTCTTCCTCCTGTCTGTGCCTGTTTTACCCATGCAGCCTCTACGACAGGCTTGGAGAGGCTGCTTTTCCCTGACATTCTGCTTGCATTAATTTCTGGAATCCCATGATTATCCTCAGGCAGAATAACCTTGGAAGCAAGCCTGGCAGACTTGCCACCCCTACAAACAAACAAAACCCCAAGTTAAAAGGCATGATTTGAAAAGGGCTATTTCAGAATGGAACACAGAATTTTTAAACAAGCCTAGAACTGCAGGGTCTGCTTTTCTTCAGGACTTTGTGCACTGGTTCTTGGAAGGAAAATGACAAACACTTTAGTTATCACTCACTCTACTAGTCTACCTATCTTTAAAACCCTTCCATATGCAAAGAATGGCATGGGGGAAAGAGAAAATGCTTACACTGCTCTCATCCATCCTCTCCCGCCTCTTGGTTTTGTGAGTTTCATAATCTTCCATAAGTGTCTGCATCAAGTTCTTGGGCCTCTGGGATCCTCCAGATTCATCTGATGTTGAGTCGAGATGCGAGGGAGGGGCTTCAGCAGTTGGGGATGGAGGTGGCTTGATCTTCTCTATTTTACCTGCAAAGACCCAATCAGAATGTCCTTCTCTAGGCAACAGGCTTGCAAGCAAATTCTGAAAACACACACCAACACACTTCCAAAAGGAATGTAATCAGTATGGACTAGGAAATTAATTGTAAGTCAAGCAGCTAGTTCTTTGTTTAAAGGAGCCAGGCCAGATTTTTGCTATATAGATTTTTAAGCTTGTCTCTCCAAATATGACAACTAAAATATATATATTCATAAATATTTTGCACAAGGAATATTGTGGTATTTCTGGGTTGAAGCAGGAGAGCATTTGGCAATGGGTATAGTTCAGATTCAGGTCTACACTCTTATCTTTCTCTCAAGGTCTGCACAGATTCCCAATGACTATCTAAGTAGACTCAGCAAATTAGTTCATTAAGAGAGCTTGAAAAGTTACCTGCACAATGTTTTAAAAGGAGCACTTTATATTCTGGTTATATAAAACTAAGTAATTTTTAAAGTGGTTACATGGCACTGACCTGCAATACAAACTATATTAAAGTAGTGCTAACTACATAACTACAGCTCAAACATCCATCCTACAAAAGGAATGATGTTACAACTCGCTACATTGCAGTTGTGATATGATTTAATTATGCTTTAGTTACTATAATGAGGAATTCATTACAAGTAACTCAGTGTTTTTGATGAGTTACTTCCAAGCTCTGCCCAAATACATAAGAAGGGGCGTCATATATACTGAAGTATAAATGGCATTCTTGGACACATCAACCATGACATGCTTCTTGTAAGATCATCCACACTATTCTGATAATGAAAGAAACACCAATCATAGGCCAGTCTCCCTCAACTTGTTTCCCAGTAAGAGAACGTGGCAAATTAGGCATGTTATGAGTTTTTTCAGTATGAATTCCCAAGAAACAGATGACAACTGCCCACAGTACAAATTATTGGTTGTGCCACAGTAGCAGAAATACCACTATAGGCTTCCAATTGCTCCAAAATTATGGTGATTATTTCCTAGATAGGATTACTCTGATGACCAAATTATATCTCATTTTCAATGTATGCCATGCAGCTATGCCTGTTGTTTTACTCAAAGGTAAGCCTAGGATTCATGAGCTGGGCCAGATCCTTGCACGTGGGATAAGGGTTTTTTAAACCTTTGATTCTCATTGTGGTCTTGATCTAGATTAGGTCCTCTGTATCGACAATTTACATAAGACAAAGGCTTCAATTTGCTTTAATTGGGATTTTCCCCTATGCCAGTTACAGATATAGACTACAGCACTGAGCAGGATTACAATGGTAGGCCAGGGGGCTAAAGCCCCCTACTCCAAGGCTGATATTTACTTTGATCTGTTTCCCTTGAGTAAATTTAGCATCACATTTACACCTGCAAACAAGTGCACTGCTGAAAACCTATTCTAGGAGAATTCTGACCTTTCTCAGTCAATGCAACAGAAATGACGGTCCCTTTGAAAAGAATGTCAAATGAGGAGAAATGTTGGAGAAAATATCAATAGGTGAGGTTCAGGATTCCTGGAGTTACTTTACTTAAGAAGGAGCTGAGGAATGAGCATTCTCACACATTTCACATGAGCTGGAAAGGATAAAAATTCCTCTACAGGCACCAGGGGACACAAAGCCTTTCCACTGAGACATGCAACAAATGCAGAAAATCAACAGCAACCCCCTTGATAAGCCATCCTGACTGTGGCAACTTGAGGTCAGGGATGCAGTGAGAAGGGCTGCAGTGATGGGGGGGCAGTGTTTCAGATTACCTGTATGCAACTACTAAACTACTGTAGTTCTAACTAAAACCGGCCTTCTTTTGTACAGGATGATGGGGACCCTCCAACCTGAACAATCTCTGCTACCACAAAACTGCAGGTATTTCCTCCTCCAAAACTAGTTTTGCTCTCTATAAGAAACAATTTCTTGATTTTCAATTTTTCCAATTAAAGATCCAGAAAGAGGTATCCTTAACATACATACACATACATTCACAAAGCCAAGTGGGGGTTTGAATCCAGCTTCTTGAATCATAGTTGGTCAGTGTATCTACTACACCACGTAAGGTTCCATGACCATCATTCCGTTAGTTGATCAGCATAACAGTGTCAAGTCAACATTTGCAATCTTATTACGAAGTTCCATTTCAGAAGACAGACCACCCAAATCCTGCTAGTCTTAGAGATACAAGTAACATGTTGAAAACTACAAACATCCAAAAGATGAACATGTTACTATCTCAAGGAGAAACAGTGAAAAATTAAGACCCTGCTTAGCAGTCATTAGCTTTAGGTAACTTTTTTGTTTAACCTCAGGGAAACTTGATAGCAAGCAAAATGATTCAATTAAGGCAACTGAAAAATGGGCCAGTTTCCGCCCCCCATTCAGATTATATGCAACTTGTGTTGATCACAGCAAGACATCAATACTAGAGATGGGCTTGAACCCAGTTTGACGGTTCATCCCGGCCCATGGCCACAGCTGTCGTGCGGTTTGGAACCTCGCCCCCGCCAGGGGATGCCTACTCAGAGGCAGCGCCCTGGCTTCCTTGCCCTGCCTCTTCCAGGCCGTGGCTCTCAGTGGGCACCCACCAGACGGGGCCGGGCACTGAAACACAGAACAGCTGTGTGTCTGTCGGCCAAACCAGCACAAACCGCTGAACCCTTGGTTTATGCCCATCTCTAATCAATGCCTCTCTTTCCAGATAGAAAAACTCTCAGAACCTCTTTGGAAACCGTAACTCCAGAAGCTTTTTTGCCAGAGAAAGCAGGATTCAAACTGGTACACAAGTAATTTAAATATACAATGCAGTTGAATCTCATTGGTATTTTTAACTCCTCTTAAGCCACATGTTTCCTTCTTTTCTAATGCAGAAGGCACACCTTCTATCCACCAAGGTTCCCCCTAAGGTGCACAGCGCTGCGCTCCCCCTTCGGTGCGGCATCCCTCCTTCTCTATGCACCACAGTGAGCACGTCCAGCACCCCTTGGTTCCGGTTGTGAAGGAACCCTGCATGTGGAAGGAAGGGTGGTTGCATGCATGCATGCGGGGCAGACCCCCACCCAGTGAGGCTGAAAAAAATAGAGGGAACGTTGCCTTCTGCACCCTCCACTCCTGAAAGAGCCACAAAGAACTGCAGCACAGCAGTCCTTTCCCATCAGTTTGTAACAAATGGACACTATTCACCATGATCAACAACACGTTCAGAAATGCTTACTGCATACTTTCAGAATTTTTAAAATTAGAAAATGTTAGTAACAACCTTTTTTTGGACACGTGGCACACACATAAAGGAGCATGGGAAATCTTATCACTTGAGACACTGAAATAACCCAACTGACTCCTAGGGGGTAGGCGACAGGTGTAATTCTAAGCTATGATCAGGGATGACTGAAGAACGTCTACTACTTGGGGTAAAAATACAAGGGGACTCCACCCCCCAAAATTTCATGCGTAGAAAAACTAAGCCGACTGGAGGCCAAAGACTAGCTTGCTTCTAACAGGATAGCATCTGCACCACATCCAAAGCAGTAAGTAGTTCAGTTTAGAGATCCCAGATCAAGATGTGAGACATATGTTCCCCTGTCATTGAACAGAGTGGGAAAAAATGAGAGATTCAAAATGAATAGTTGGGAGAAGGGGATGACATTGCATTCCCCACCCACCCCCGAAACCTAAGGGTTGTGCTGCCTCTGGAGTAAACTGGCTTGTTCAGTATACACTTGAACTATGTTACCTGTAACAGTGGCAGAATAGCTAGAATCTTTCCTCCTTCAAGCTCTTCTCAAAATCCACCATGGCCATAAATCTTTTATTTTATTTTATTCCATTTTATTTTATTTAAAACGTCTTTAGCCGCCCTATATCACAGGATCTCAGGGCAAGTGACAGAGCTATATAAAATATGTTTGAAACGTAAGATAATTAAAGCAAAGCAAAGCATGCTGCTTATATACCGCCCCATATACCGCCCCATAGCGCTTCAAGCACTCTCTGGGCGGTTTACAAGTTAATTATGCAGGCTACATGTTGCCCCCCCCCCAGCGAGCTGGGTACTCATTTTACCGACCTCGGAAGGATAGAAGGCTACCAGAGCTGACCACCTGGGATTGAAACTCAGGCTGTGAGCACAGTTTTAGCTTCATTGAGTTGGAACAGGCCTATAAAGCTATACAGTTCAACTCCCGGCTCAAGGCAGGGATCAAAATCAAAGCAGATTTGATGGATTGTTGTTCAATTTTCTCTTGAATGCCTTCAGGGTTGGAGCACTCACCAGCTCCCGAGATAATTAGTTCCATTTTTCTACTACTCTAACAATTAAGTAGTTTTTCCTGATATTCAGCTTAAATCTAGATTCCTGTAGCTTGAGCCCATTATTATGTGTCTTGAACTTTGCATCGATCGAGAACAGATCCTCCTCTGTATGACTATTGTTCAAGTATAGTGGTGCCTCGCTTAACGGGCGCCCCATTTAACGACGAATCCGCATAGCGATGAAGATTTTGCGATAGCTTTTGCGATCGCATTGCGATGTTCCCTATGGGGAAAAATCACTTTGCAATGATTGCGGGGAAGCGATCATCGCAAATGCCTCATTTTCACAAAAATGTCCTCCATGTCTCCACATAACTGTTCTCAATGATGGGACACAGAGAAGGTCCTCCCAGTAGATCTTAGTCATTGGGCAGGTTTATATGGGGAGACATCCTCCTTCAAATATCCAGGTCCAAAGCTATTCATGGCTTTTTAAGTCACTGTCAACACCTTGAACTCAGAACAGAAATGTACTGGCAGCCAGTGGAAATCCTCCAGAAGTTGTGTCATGTGAGTTCTGAAGGGTACTCTTGTTAACATTCTAGCTGCTGTGTGCTGCACTTGCTGCACCATCTGTGTCATCTTCAAGGATAGCCCCATGTAGAGTGCTTTGCAGTAGTCCAACTGGGGTGGGGTGGTTACCAGGGCATAGATTCCTGTGGCCAGGTTATTCCTGGCCATAAATGGTTGTAGCTGGTGGA